AACGAAGCAAAGAACGAAAACTTCTCTAATATTTGCTTTCTCTCTCAAGCTCATATGTCTCTTTTTTTCTATTTAACACCTTTTTGTTTCACCCGTCTGTGTCTGAGACGAATTTAATGTAGCGTGATAACGAACAGAGGAAGAATATAAAAGAGATTTTAAATAGTTGGAATAATTTTAATGCAAGTTTTACTTCGTCTTGCGAACCAAAGGCTTGATGAAATATAGACAACTGTATATTTTAAAACAAAATTAATAGAATAAAGTTCTTATACGCATATACGCTTTAAAAATTAAAAATAGATAGTGCTAAATGCGAGAATTGAAACAACATAGACTAAAAAGTAGGAAAAACCTTTTTCTTGAACCGTTTCTTTCTTCAGTGCCACTTTCGTGCTCATTTGAATTAGCAAAAGAGCAAAGAAAGAGACGCTATATCTCCGGTAATACCTACCTACGATTCAATATTCTAACGACAGAAAGTAGACGAGAAGAAGAGAAACTCAAATTCCGCAATTCTGCTAGCGATCGGACAAATTGCCTCCGTCTGCAATGTTCTTGCGGCGAAGATCGCTTAAAAGGATAATTGAAAACGAAGTACCTTGTAGTTGAGATAGACGGGGGCAGGAAAGAGAAAATCCACGGTCTGTTCGGTTTGGAAGGATGGTGCGGTGCAAAGCGAAAGAACTTCATCTCGCTGTAGTCCGATAATCGAGGTGTGTCGACTAATTCGGCGAAATGATGGTACATAAAGGTGAAGTGGCAGCTACATATACCTAGAGCGAGGAATGGACAATGGAAAATTGCAAACTGCAGGAAGATTTTAATAAACGCGAGGAGAAAAATTGCGTAATTTTAAAGGGGCTAACGGTGAACAATAAAGGCGCATAAAAATACACGGCCAGCATCACGAAATAAGAATAAAAATGGATGGATGGATATATCTATTAAAAAACAAAATCAATAGCTCGAGGAAATACAAAAATATTCCGCACGAATCTGTACGATATATGCGATATCAAAGTAAATGATTAGTATGATTTTAAAATATCTTTCATACACGAAAAGAAACGATTTCACTGAAATTAAAATTTTAACTTGATACAGACTTAAAAATAGTTTTAGTAAGTCATTAAAATAATTATGTAAAAAAGTTTTTAATATTCAGTGAAAAAGTTTTGATATTCTAACTACTAATTTAAGCGTTCTACACAATTATTTTGCGATCTAAAAAATTATTTTTTAATCTATATCTAGCTAAATTTTCAGATATTTTAACAAAACTTCCCGTATACGAGAGATGTTTTAAAATAATTGCACTAATTATTTACTTTGACATCGCGTACATTGAACAGTAACAGCGGAATATATTTGTATTTCTTTGAGCTATCGATTTCGCGACTTTTTAATAAATATCTCGTCCATCCACTTCTATTTTTATTGTACGATCATATATAAAATATATCTCAAATTTGAAGCTACAGTAATGTGCACAAAGAAATAAAAAAAGTTCTAGTAAATCTTGACAAGTAAAGATGCGATATCGTATTTGACTCAGCTTTCGCTAATTCGTATAGAATTGCAGGGTTCCAATATAAAAAGGGCAAGAGCTTTCTCTTTTACTTATTTCCTGGTTTGCGCGCCTTTGCTGATGTGAGATTATATCGTAAGCTTTCGGTTCTACGAGATAAGACGGCGTAGCTTCTTCATGTTATAGCCGAGAATCTTCTAACTCGAGTTCAAAGGGATTATCTACTTAAAGTCCTTCTCACACTTATCCTCGTAGAATTTCTCCATTTTCGTAATTTGTCGAAATAATTTCTGTGGTGTGCGTGACGATCATCGATTGCCTTGAAATATCGCTGCTCTATAAATAATCTTTTACGAATAATTACGATTTTATTTTTACATCTCGATGGTGACACGGAGATGTTAGCCGTTTATTTCGCGCTTCCTGTTATCGAGATTTCACTCGATATTCGTACAATTAAAATTTAATCGTTTCACACTGTTGATACCTTTGTGCGTGAACTTTCACGAGGTCGTTTGTAACGCGGTCCGAAACGTCAAATGCCATTGAAAGAACGATATATCGTCGAATTGCGCATTCTCATTGTCCCCAGCAACCTATTCTCTTTCTGTATCTGTTCAACTTTGAAAGTCAAATTACGGTAAACACAATTGTCCATTGTGCGAATCTTGCAATCGCGTTTTATCGATGGATCGCCGTACGATAATTAACGCAGGAGATATGAATGCACCCTGCCTGACTATTGTCGCACGTTCCAATCAATTATCAATGCTATTTTTTGAACAGAGTGGATTTATGTTTGCGTAATAAATATATACATATAATAATCGCAAATTAATTAATCTCTAGAGTTTAGTTTATAATTATTTATTGTAAGTTCATAATTATTTACAATTTATATGATGTAATATGTAAATGCCGAAAAGTACTATTATTAGTATAATAATTTAATGTGAAAATGATTTTGTCGTGTCCAAGATACAATTAGTAGCGTATGATTACAAGTCGCCACACAAAGAAAGATATGTAAAACAAGTAATTTTACATGGAAAAGTTTCATTGAAATATCTAAAAATTTAACTAGATACAAATCTGAAAATAATTTTGTTGGACTATTAAAATAATTACACGGAATGCTCATACTGATTGCCAGTATGTTAACCCTCTATGATCCCCATTAACCTGGACTCCCCACCATCGAAAATCAAATTCGCGATAGGTCAAAAATTTAGTGCTCTTTTGTTGCTAATTAGTTGCTCTAGAGCGAATTTTGTTGCTCCAACCGTTTAGCAGCAATAAAAAAAAAATGGGGGGATCCAGGTTAATATAAAGCTGGACCCTCCCATAATGAAAAAATATACATAGAGCTGCGATATCAAAAAAACAAATGCACCAGATTTTGTTGCTTTTTTTGTTGCTCTAGGATAGTGCAAAAAAATATCGAAAAAATCACATTGTTAAACAAATTCCGATAAATAATCAAAACTGCATTGTCGCGCGTCGCAACGTTATGACCAAAACTTACATGTATAGAATTTGTTACTCGCAAGTTTTTGGTACTAAAATGTTCCTTGGAACGTATACTATCGAAATATACCCGTTTCCGATTTTGTTGCTAACCCTAACACATGAAAAATAATTAGTTTATCAGCATCGGCGCTCGAGCCGA